TATAAGCTTGCCATTTCAGATGAATGAATTGTTTAGAGTTATTGGAAGGAGTCCAGGGATACTTGAGTTCCTTTTTTAGCTATACAAATTCTGAGCTATTGGACTTTTATAATTACAGTCTTTCTGCATTATGTTGTACTACTTTGAGAGGTGAACTTGTAAAAAATTCAGCCTGTTCCCTTTTGCTGCCCTGTAGGACAGACCATGGCCATGGGCCGGTTTACTTGTACCATTTTCTTATTTGTCTTTTATGTCAAAGACATTAGTGGGAAATGTTGGTTTTTGTGCACCATTTAGAGTGAGACTCAGCTTCAGTGCCTTAAAGCATTGCAGAGTGCATGACTGGGCAGGCGTGAATAGGTAAATCCATAGGTTTGTGATTGCTAAAGTCTCACTGAAACATAAATGTGAATACTTTGACCGTGGAATACAAGATTATACCAAACTGTGGACAGTGTCTAAAAGTCCACGATGCTCTTTGCTCTGCCTCTCTCTTGGCCAGTCTGGCATTAGACTTGGAGGAAGTGTGCCCAGATGGTGAACTGAATATTGTTCAGAGCAGGAAAAATCTTTTTAATGAGCTGGTTATGGTGAACTCCTGGGATTCCCAGCCTGCACTGCTGGTTTGCAGAGAGAGCCAGCCCCGTATTCCCCCTGGTGGCACCAAGGCAGTCTCTGTTTGTGGTCAGAATTCCCTGCTGTTTCCAGCCAGCTCAGGCTGTGAGTGTTTTCACATGGCTCTGGCTCTGGTGATACAAAGGGCACACAGTGCCAGCCATAACACTGAGTAATGCCGGGAGGTGCCTTCTAGAACAAACAATGTGGGTGAGTTCTGCAGAGAGGGAATACCTCTGGCTTGACATTTAAATTACTGAATTATTCAAATGAATGTCAATTCAGTAGAGTAGACTTTCTGCCTTCTGCCAGGGCACTTCCTGGATATTCGCACAGGCAAGTGTAAAATACTTTACATCAGATATGGTGCTTCCTGTCAGGACTGTTGAAAATCAGTCACAGAATGTGATTATCTGTTCCTTGGTGTTTCTTGATGTCTGCTGTATTTATATCACAGTCTGAAAGATTAGGAATCCACACACCCATACCTGTGGCCCTGAAAGTGGTTTTGGGATCATTCTTGAACCCCGCCCCCACTCCCACACCAAATAAAATATTACAGGCCCACACATGTCATGCTTGTTCCTAAATTTGACAAGACTAAAAAAGTGAGTCATGGGCATTTTGAGTCCTGCTGTCTTCCTTAGAATTATGGATATTAAGATCTGAGAGTGCCATTACTACCTTGCTTTTAACCTTGTTAATTTAGTAATTCTAGTTCAGAAAATCCTTCCATCTACTGCACTCTGTCAGATGAAATTGCCAAAGTGGCATGTAGCGAATGTGAGTGTGTGCACTTGTGTGGTCATTCTGTCATTCTTAGGAATTCAGGGTCTTCATTTATATTTGGGTATATATAAAAAATAAATACATGAAGGACTTTTCTAATTAGTCATATGGGAATATGCAAAGTAAGAAGACTGAACGGTAGACGAGGAACAAAATAGGAAAGAGAAGTTAGTGAAGGTTTTGTACTTCCCAGTTAGCTAACTGTTGGACTCAGCTCAGGGTTCTTTCATATCAGAGATTGAGTTAATTATTACGTGTCATTAACTGTTGTCTTTCTTTGCCTTTTTCTCGATTGTGGAGGGTAGGGTAGATGAAAACCCTGGTATTTGACATCTTACTGAAAAGAATCACCAACTTACAGGTAATTAACCCCTGGTTGTCTACATACAACTACAGGAAGTATAGAAAGACTTTAAGTAGAGTGCTTAATAACCAAATGAATCCCTTTGACTTAGTTTGCAACCTTGAAGGATTAAAGCCTAGGTACCCCACAGAGTTAGGTATAGTAAGTTGAATTTTACTGATGGTGATATTTACTTGAGGCTGTCACGTCTGGCAAAACTCTTTAGGTTATAGTCCAAAAGTTTGTCAGGCTGCCTGCACAGCCTGTCAAAAACTAGAGACCCTGGAAAAGCAGTGCCTCTTCCTGCATCTGTGGACTTAGAGTGTAGTTTGGGATGGAACTTTAAAAACAGAGTTAATTTTGAGAGCACATTAGAGAAATGATTGTTGTTGTTACTTTATTTTTTTTTTTAATTTGGCATTTTTATATTACAGCCACAGGTGTCCTTAATCCTTTGGTTCCCTGGACTGTCCATTTCTGGAGGACCAATGAGCAGGCTCTCTCTAGTCTAGAGTTGCTGGTTTATTGTTATTCTTAGCAGCCCATACGTGCAGTGGGCTGAGTAAATCACACTCGTCAGTTCGTTATCAGTCCATGAACAGCTCTCTCCTACTTTATTTTTATTTTGCTCCTTCGTCCTAGCACTAACGCCTTACTCTGCAAACCAGTGTCAACAGGCACATATTCTTAAATGGGTTAGGTATCTATCCTGGGGTATCTGTGATCTTTGAAAAGTATTCAGGATTTAAAAATACATATTTGTGTTTCAAATTTACATAAATTGCATTATTTCAGTTTTTAGCATAGTCTTTTCAGTTCCCAGCTGTAGATCACAAGTGAATTTCTCTGACATTATGAACTCTCCCCCTCACCCCACCCATCCGCTTCTCTCCAAAGAATCATCACCTGTTGGGCAGCATAGTTGGCAGCCCTCAGCGTGCTTTGTGCCATTCAAGAGTGGCAAGCATGTCTAGACTCCCTGGAAATATTATCTTTCAGCTCTCTTTTGGCAAGTGTAAACTTTTTGCTGGATTATGTCAACAGATATATGTGTTTCTCATCCTCATAGAAATAGACTGGTACTGGAATTTCCTTCAGATTTCTCCAGGCAAAGAACATAAAGACTATCTCTTTGCTCATTAAAACTTTTGCTCATTAAAAATGTTTGAGGGCTCTTGATTCTCAGGGGTGAGACTGGTGACATACATAGACTGTCAGCGGCTATTTTGGATTTTCTGCTTTCAGGCTTGTCTTTGCTCTTGGATGAGCCCCTTGTGGTTTTCAAAAGAACTAGCAAGTCAATTATAAATAGAAGGCTGTGTCTGTGTGTCTGCATGCACTTACTCTGTGGGCCGAGGCACCCACATTATAGTGGGCAGTGAACTATTTTTCCACTTCTTTGAAGAGGGAAGAAGAAAGATTAAGAATGCTTTTCTCTTTTTGAGATAACCCACATCTCTACACACACCCACACAAATCTGTGTAAATGAACTTGACATTTTCAAAGACCTTACCTTAACGTCTCCTCTGGAAAGCACAGCCACCCGACCTGTTATTTTAAGAAAGAAGCATTTATCTCACAGACTCACTACTGAGGGATCAGGGATTAAGGCAGCCTCTATATGCCATAGACCTTTGAAGGGAACTCTGAAAGCTGAATTTCCTTATATGAACAGTGCTTCGGCAAAAGTGGCCTCAGCTAACTAATCAGTGGCCTCTAGGACTTGGCTGTTTACATTTTATCCACACGTTCTTTCCCCACTAGTAGAAACTGTGAGACCAGCAAATCTAAACGAATCATACTGACAAGGAAAGAGGAAAGAGGAACATGAAAATGAAACTGCAAATTTGTATTCTCAGAAAGAGACAGTTAAGCGGAGTGATTAGGTGCTTCCCTCTTGATCCATTTCTGCTGCTCTCCATTGCACCTTGAGTGCACCATGTGTGGATTCTTCCCGTGCTCCTACTAGTCGCCTTATTTTTCAAACATTGTTCTATTCTCTTTGTCTCTTTGTGCCCTTGTTCTCCATATTTGGCACCAATTTTTTTGTTCCTGCCAGCCAAAAATTCTGAAGAAGCTATTAATTCCTACTATCATCTATGTAAACTTCAGTGTTATCACTACTGATAAAGTTAGTCTAGGCATCTAGCTGAAAATATTGGTACCATGGATTGTAATTACAGATTGTGTATTCTTGCAAACTCTCTCTCTCTTTTTTTTTAAGACAGTCTTGCTCTGTAGCCCAGGCTGGAGTGCAGTGGCATGATCTTGGCTCACCACAACCTCCACCTCATGGGTTCAGGTGATTCTCCTGCCTCAGCCTCCTGAGTAGCTGGGCTTACAGGCTTGCACCACCACACCTAGCTAGTTTTTGTATTTTTAGTAGAGATGGGGTGTCACCATGTGGGTCAGGCTGCACTTGAACTCCTGACTTCGTGATCTGCCCGCCTTGGCCTCCCAAAGTGCTGGGATTGCAGGCGTGAGCCACTGCGCACAGCACAAACGCTTATTGTATTATACGTTGAACATCCCAGATCCCCAAACCTGACATTTGAACTGCTCCAAAATCCAAACCCTTTGAACATTGACCCAGTGCTCAATAGAAATGCTCATTGGATTTTGGAGTTTTGGAAATTAGGTGCTCAGCTGGTATAAATACAAATATTCCCCAATCCAGAAAATTTTAAAATAGGAAACATTTCTAGTCCTAAACATCTTGAGTAAGGGATACTTAGCTTGTAGTATATTTCTGTCATGTGGCTTCAAGAATGTCAGCATTCCTTGTTTTACTAGTTGGTGGGGATTTGTACAGAGCTAGCAAGAATTGGTATTAATAGCTGCTATATATTTAGGAGCATTTTTTTGGAATAGAATAAAGGTATAAACATTTTATTCCAGTAAAACATTTTATTTTGATGTAGTAATTGGGATCTGAGAGTCAATCAAGCTGAAGGTTATATGAACACCATAGGGGGAGAAGCTCATTTTCAGAAGTCTGTGGACAGATGATAGCCAATCTTTGTCTTAGTATGATCTAAAAGGGTGCACAGCTTATATAAATGAATTGCTACATTGAGAGGCAAGTATTATTTGTTGGTTGGTTAAGCGACAATCACAGAATGTGGACCTCTTGGTCAATGGTGATGCTTAGCTTGACTTTCTGTTTGATAGAGGTGTTTGGAATGATCATTCTCTCAGTGAAGGTGAAACTCACAGTAATTCTTTTTTTCCCTACCTTTCTCTCCTTTGCAGATGAGAAGCCCAAGGTCAGCCCCAAACTCTACATGTGTGTGTGTGAAGGCCTTTCCTGCGGTAATGAGGACCACTGTGAAGGCCAGCAGTGCTTTTCCTCACTGAGCATCAATGATGGCTTCCACGTCTACCAGAAAGGCTGCTTCCAGGTTTATGAGCAGGGAAAGATGACCTGTAAGACCCCACCATCCCCTGGCCAAGCTGTGGAGTGCTGCCAAGGGGACTGGTGTAATAGGAACATCACGGCACAGCTGCCCACAAAAGGTTCTTGTGGACTTTTCTGTTTTGAGATAAAGGGGTTTTGTTAGTGTTTTCCTGAGTCTGTGTGGGTTAAAGATCTAAGTAGCTGTGAGGTGTTCCACCTGCATATGGAGCCAGAGGTGAAGAGCTACAAGGAAGGTAGCCCTGGGTGAAGAAGAGAAAGGACCAGCCTTTTGGCATCTAAAAGAAGGATGGGCATTTTGGGGAATGTAAGCAAGGTGACGTCCATCTTGGGGACAGCTTGGCTGACCAGTTAGTTCTCTCTTGGTTGCTGTGACTCAGGTGAACAGCTCCCAATACCTTTTTATGTTACGGAGCCATGATGGTTTTCGTAATTTCTGAAGCAATTCTGCTCTCAAATACTCATCTCTATGTCAAGCGTGTAGGGAGGAAATGGAACAGACTGGTGACTGAGTGGAATGCCTTTCCTGTTTTAAGATAGAAGACAAAAGAAGCCTCACTGACCTCTTCTCCCATATCTGATGCTCAGTGACCTATCACTGACACTAGAAGCAGGATGAGATTTCACACAAACCCTGTAGTTTATGTGGATTCTTCTCTCTACCATATTCAATACAGATTGCATATGTTATGGAAACCAATCCTCCTTTGAAACTGTTTCCCTATTAAATGAGCCCTAAATTGCATAAATAGTCTGCAACTATTAATGTAGACTCATTCTAAGCCAAATTTATTCTCTTACCATATAGTACATTTTTAATAGGTTTAATTATTTCAGAAAAAAGAAACCAAAAAATGGAGGAGTGGTAACAAGGAGCGTCCAAACCAGAAATGTCAGCCAGTAAGGAAGGAGACAGAAGAGCAAAAAAGCCGATGCAAGATCATGTTCTAGTAATTTTGAAGTTATGGTGATGACTTTAAGGCATATAGAAAAGGTTAAATTCTGACAAGCAAATAGGATTGAATAATAATAATAAAAAAAAGATTTTAAAATAGGTCAAGTATCGCTTCTTGGCCTTTTGGCTAAGATCAAGTGTAAAATAGATCAGGTATTTTCATGGTTAAAACTAAAAGCATCCTTGATGGAATAAAATTTACTGTTATACTTTGTGAGTTAAATTTTTATTAATTGAGTGGATAGACATGAAGAAATGTCTGAATTCACACAAAAATTATTAAACCAACAGTGTGAAGTTTCTAATCTGCAGATCACTCTTGAGTTTTAATAGAAGATTTTTTTTTTTGAGATGGAGTTTCACTCTTGTGACCAGACTCCATGGAATCCAATGGCGTGATCTCAGCTCACTGCAGTCTCCACCTCGTTGGTTCAAGTGATTCTCCTGCATCAGCCTCCCTAGTAGCTGGGATTACAGGCTTGCACCACCGTGCCTGGCTAATTTTGTATTTTTAGTAGAGACGGAGTTTCTCCATGTTGGTCATGCTAGTCTTGAACTCCCGACCTCAGGTGATCCGCCCGCTTCGGCCTCCCAAAGTGCTGGGATTGCAGGCTTGAGCCACCGCACCTGGCCAGTTTTTTAATTTAAAGACATTCTCATTTGATTAGGGAGGCCACAGTATTTATAATTCAATGTTGCATTTTGTTAGTTTTCCACTTTCTCATACAAATGACATATGCCATGGAGTATGATATATGCCAAGCTGTTGATTAGTTGGGGTTGGAAAGTTAAAGAAATATGTAAAAGAATTTAGGCTTGTGATTGGGTGACTGAAGAGACCAGTGATATGGAAATGAGTGAGGCATACGTATGGAAGAAAAGGGCCTGACGACATAGTATTATGAAGAGGTCTGAACCCAGGGAGTGAATCAGTGAACGAATGTCTGAATAAGTAAGTAAATGAAGAGAGGAATGAATAGGTTCCTAGGCAGAAATTGCCTAGGAAAAAATCAATGAGCGATCAGCAGTAGACACCCAGGATATACTGAAGACAGAGACCACAGATGGGTAATTTGGTTTTAGCTCAGATAGCCCTTTCTCCTAAGGATATTACAGTGTAGTATCTGTAAGGGCCTGATGGTGAAACATACCAAATCCAAGTTGCTAAGACTAATATCAAAGATTTGTACAGTACTTTATATTTTAAAAGCATTTTCAGATTCAGGTATTAATACAATTGATTCTCAGTGGAATTTTAAAAAATTCTAGTTGTGTCTAATTGAATGATGGTTAAAATGGCTGGGCCATTGGCCAGGTATTAGGAAGTGTTTTAGTTTTAATACTTCGTGACTTATGACACTGTGTGGTTGGGATCAGGAGCTACTTGTTAGGGTATTGGTTACGCTAATAAGAAGTAAGCAGTGATCCTTACAACCAATTCCCCCTTTTCCCTCCAACTCCAGGAAAATCCTTCCCTGGAACACAGAGTTTCCACTTGGAGATCGGCCTCATTATTCTCTCTGTAGTGTTCGCAGTATGTCTTTTAGCCTGCTTGCTGGGAGTGGCACTCCGAAAATTTAAAAGACGCAACCAAGAACGTCTCAATCCCCGAGATGTGGAGTATGGCACCATTGAAGGGCTTATCACCACCAATGTCGGAGACAGCACTTTGGCAGTAAGTCATGACCCCACAGGGAATCCCAAGCATAAGGAAGATGTCTGGAGACACGTTCTTATTTCGAGCATGAAACACTAACCAGTAATGAGTGACTGAACAGTGTACACACATGCTGTTGGTTACTTATGTCCTAAACAAGCACATGCTGGCACCTGTGTAGTCTTCCCATCTCAGAACAGCCATTTAGACAGACATTTAAATAAGGGATGGGATTTATTTTAGTAGTGTTGGTAGTTAGTTACTTTTCTTTGAAGAGTAAAGCAAAAGAGACAGGAGAATGGTTGCCTGCAATTTTGGAGAGTTGGAATTTGTGGTCTTCAGTTACTCTATTTTTAGCCACGAAAGTGCTTCTTTAAAAAGGCACCTTTTGCTTACTATTAAAGATGAATTTCCTATCTAGATTATTTCAGCACCCTGTAATTTAAGGCTTAAAAACTTGACATCCACAAAAGTAGCTTTTAAATTTTGTATGCTCCTGTGGTGCCCCCTTGTGGAGTGCAATCATTTGGTTAAGCCCTTGTTGTCCAACAGAAACGTGTACATCACATATGTAATTTTAAATTTTCAAGTAGCCACCTTAAAAACAAACGAAAAAACGCCCAAAGTTTCTTAAAAGTAGAATTAATTTTAACACATATTTAACCAAATGCATCTCATTTTTGTCATTTCAATGTATAACTGATTAAAAAATTATTAATGTACGTTTTACATTCTTTCTGCTTTTGAAGTAAGTTTTCAAAATCTTGTGTATTTTACACCTATAGCATATATCAGTTCACACTAGCCACAGTTTACTTGTTCATGGCAACATGTATCTAGTCACTACCCATTGGATTGCACAGTGTTAGAAACTATTGTATTTATACATTAAAATCTTTTGCGTATTTTTAAATGATGAAATCACATTAAAAGGGGACTTTCTCCTTTTATTTACCTTTTAAAATTGCTTGCCAAGTGTTCATTTTAAAGAAACTTTGAACTTTAAATGGGGAAGGGATATCACTTGCTATAAATAGGTTATCATAAAGTGCAAAAGAAAAAAACAATAACATTCTGCATAGTTATACTGAGTCTGATGCTTACTTTGAAAAAAATTTGAGATTTGTGGGTGTTAAGCGAGTGTAAGAGACATGCTAATACCAATTTGAGACTCTCTCCTTGTGACAATCTGTTGAATTAAAAGGCAATCAAAGCAGTCACTTTCTAATGTGATTCACTGTTACTTAATGACATTGCCCTTGTGTATTTGAAATCATTTTGCAGTAAGACTTGTTCTGCTATAAAACAAGTTTCAAAGTGCCAGATAGTTCTATAGTTACACTTGCCCTGTAGCTCCCCTTATGCTGGAGAGGACTTCCCCTCACCAGTGGCCGTCTGGGTAGCTCAGATGTTATACCTGGACAGTTGCAGGATTCACCTGTGACAAGTTGTCACCACATTTCGTGGTGCCTGCTATGGGCTGGGAATCATCCCATTCTACTGCCTGCCCCATCACTGGGCCACTTTTTGGTATATAAAAGGGGAAAGTAATCTTCTGTAGCTTCCACTTACCTACTGTTTAAACTGTGATACAGTGGAACTGGGGAAAGCAAATGCAGTATAAGGACATTTCATTTCAAAAAGTAGAGAAATACAATTTTTTTTGTTAGATATATACTTAGAAGTCTATTTCAAGCTTTAAGGAAAATTAAATGAGTTTATTGAGTTAGTAGCAAGAAGATGTGAGGATGAATCCTGACAAAGCTTTAGCAAAGCAAGATTCTAAAATAAGTTTGTTAGAACTTCATTCTTTAGAGCTGCTAACGTAACTAATTACCAAGGGCAATAATAGGAATATTTGGTACAAATTAACATTTAAATAGCTTTTAGAATTTTGAAAGAGGAATAGAGCATATGCCAAAATAGTCTTTTAAACTCAACCATGTCATATGACAGTATATCATGATATAATAACACAGTAAAGAACACTATTTAAAACAAGTTGTCATTATTGGTCTGCATACTTGCTTATTTAAGCAGTATGCTCATTTGTATGTTTCAACAAAGCATACCCTTACTAAACTGCACATCTACATTGAAAAACAAGCCTTGGCCATGCATAGTGGCTCACACCTATAGTCCCAGCACTTTGGGAGGCCATGGGGGAAGATCACTTGAGGCCAGGAGTTCGAGACCAGCCTGGGTAATATAGCGAGACGTTGTCTTTAATTAAAAAAAAAAAAAAGAAAAGTAAAGAACAAAAAGAAGGCTTGGTATCTGGGAGTTGAGATATATGCTTATTAGTCTTGGGTTGATGTTTTTTTTTCCTTCCTTAGGTCTATGAACTGCATTTAGAAGCAGGATCATGCATTATGAAAAAACAAAACATTAGTTTAATTTTCAGAATTATTCTTCTTGAAAAAAGACTGAATGAATAAGGAGAAAAAAGAACCGCAAGAGAGAGAATGGTTAGGGAGATATGAAACTCTGCTTCATCTACACTCATTTTCTTGTTGATTATCCCTTTTGTGGTTTTTGAGGGTTCTAAATTTCTTCCGTTGGATGTTCAGCTTTTGGTAATTTTGCCGATCAACAGTACTTCACAGTGGTGCTCAGAGGAAGTGAAAGAAGATGAAATTCACACAAATCAATGTATTGCTTTAGTAGGCCAGCCAAATGTTTTTGAAGGGATGAGCTTTGATGAATAATAACTGAATATTACTGCAATCCTATCTCTGTCATCCATGGACACAGTATTGTTTATTACTGATAACCTATGCCTGATACCAAAAGACTTTCTGGTTCTTGGCTTATGCTGAGTAAGAAGGAAAACTTTATCAATGAATTAACTGGGAATCTTTTTGCCAACACCTTCATTTGTAGACGTTAACTTGGGGCACTGGTTTTATGTTTTCAATGAAGGCTTTATTCGTTTCCTTCTCTGATTTGTGAGTGATTCATATTAAGAAATAACAAGTAGGTGTTATTATAATTTTGCTTCTCACCTGCCTAAAAGGAAACCTCCACCCAGGCAGCCCGTTTCTGCCTGAGTATACCAATTTAATGATCCACATGGTCATTGGAGTCTTTTGTTACAAACCACATTAGAGTTGTTTGTTCCTTATTTCTAGTTTGTTTGTTCCTAATTAGAGTTCCTTAGTTGGTATGGCAACTAAAGTGAATCATTTGACAGATACTTAGTGAGCATAGCAGAATATGGTAAATTACACCCAGTTCTTGAAGTTGAAAGGACGTCCCCTCCCTTCTGTTCCACCTGCTATTCTCTCTACTGTTTCCCTTGTGCTCGGCTCTGCTTCTTGGACTTTCTGATTTACACCTTCAACTTTGTCTGCTCAGCTTCTTTCATTATATATTTTATTTTGAAACTGCATATAGGAAAGGACTGCTTCTCCTTCCGGAAAACTTACCATATATTAGGTAAGGTGCTAGCTTCTAGTATTCCAAAGAAATAAAACCAGTCCTTCCTTCTTCCAGAGGAGCTTTACATGCACACTAACAGGCCATGCATCCCGGGTTGCTGCCCTTCATGTGAGTTACAATGTCATGCATACTAGTGCTCCAAAATGGGGGCTGTATTGCTCAATAGTTTCTTTTCCCCCTTGTCTTAAACTACAGGATTTATTGGATCATTCATGTACATCAGGAAGTGGCTCTGGTCTTCCCTTTCTGGTACAAAGAACAGTGGCTCGCCAGATTACACTGTTGGAGTGTGTCGGTAATTATTTTTTTTCCTTTCTTTGTGGGTAATATGCAGTGTTGTGGTTTTCAAAGTAAGATGGAACTTGGAAAGTCTGCTTTTTGTTGCCTGTTGTTTTCTTATTAAACTTGGGAGACGTGGTCACTATCCTGTCTGACTCACGTTGGAGCACCTGAACTTGTTGAAGCTCTTATCAAAGGAGTCTATTACTAATTAGTACAGAGAATGCCTAGTCAAAAGCTTTCAGTTGCAGGTGGACCTTTGCGAGGATGAGAGAATGATTTTATATGATTGCTCTAAAATACCTATAGTAAGGAGCAACCATATCAGTTCATTCTAAAAAATTCATTCATTCATTCTAAAAAAGCCCCAAATGTGCTCATTAATTTCAACTCTAGTTGTTCTCTTCTAAAAACTGAATTGATATAGTTGCTCTTACCATAGATATTGGATATAAACTTATGTCCTTTTTTTCAGTTTCAAGCTCATGAACATTTCATGTATTTGTACACATCACAAATATTTTTAAAGATTATGGAGCAGTCCATGGCATGGTAGTATAACTATAACCATACTGCTTGAGAAAGACTTTGCACACATTGCTTCTTTCTTTTGAGTTTTCAGAAAAAATTTCCAGGAATTGGGGGTTCCCGGGTCAAAATTTGTGAAATTTTTTTTATAGCTTGTTTCATATGCTGCTCGCTGTCTAGGAAGATGGTACAAAGTTCCTATTCCATGATTTTTGTTAGCTTTACTTTTATGTGGCAGGTATTTGCAAGTTCTATAACCATTTTCATAAGTTTCTCTTTAAGGTGACTTGCAAGGATGGCTGCAGTAGTAATAATGGGTTGGCAACGTCTCTACACCTTCCTCCTAGTGCTCCTGGTTTCTAAGGGATGGACTTTGCAGCTCCTGCCATTGCATCTTTTGTTTTTGGGAGGTGACCCATAAGCTGTCCCCACCACTTGGCTGCTGTTCTCCAGATTTTTTCTTGTTTTCATGGAAAGAGGGAGACCCCAAGCTGAGTAGTAGAAAGGGGGATGGGCAGAGGTAGGAAGAGCAGTGGCTTCCACCCCAAGGCACAGGAGTAACCCGCAGGAGCTTGGTTGTTCTTTCTCTAGGTCTACAACTATTGCCACTGTTTCCCCATTCTCGCTTCTCCTCCACAGTAGATTGTGAACAGAGAAAGATGGAAAAGCCCCAAATGTGCTCATTAATTTTAATCAGAGTTGTCCTCTTGTATCAACTAGTATCTTATTTGATTATGAACAAGATTATCTGGGTAGTGGTGGGAAGACATTGAGGGGATCCATTTCCCTATCTCACCTCCCATCTCTCCTCCTATCTTGTGCATGCTATCTCAAGATTAATTTTCAGAGATTGGCTCCAGAGTCCAAAGGGCAAATAATAATGCACCTTTAAGACATAGAACTACCTTTCTGGTTTGTAGATATTCTTCAGCATTTTTTGGAAACTGTATAATTATAATTATTGCATTTTCTTGGGTTAGGACTAAAGATTTTGCTAAAAGCAATGCCTTTCAGTAGCTTGTAGTTTGTTCATGTGGTTCAGCTTTTAATAAAAATATATGTGATAAACTGCATGGATGCTATGTTACTATTTTTGGTTCAAAAACATGGGAGGTTGGATTAGGGGAGTCATTGCTGGATGATGATCAGTGAAACTAAAAATTTCAGGTGCCTTATGGGAGCCTTTTGGTGGGGCTTCATGACCAGAGCTTCTGGGCAGCTCTGCTTTTGTTTTAGGGGCTTCCGCATCATGACGCATTTGCAGAAAGCATTTAATAACTTAAAAGCATTTAAAAACTATTGAAAAATATTTCTGTTTCAATTTACCTACCTCAGCATCTCATGTTTTCTTTAAAACAACAACAAAAAGGATTTGATGTAATTTTATGTCCACAATTCCCTGGGTTATTTTGCTCTCATTCCTAATGAGAAAATGAGGGCAAAGGGAAAATAAAGATACAAAATAGAACCAAAGGCAGGAAAACATGAGCATATCATTTTCTGCTAGCCAGTATTTGTAGTATTTTAGCACTAGCCCTCACCTTGAGCTATAAATGCTGGGCAAATTGCTCTGACGTTATTAAAAGGAATCCTGTACTAAATTATATTTGTGTGACCTAACAGTGGCCCACAAGGAGCACTTGTTAGCCACATTCAACATCCTTTTGGGTTTGTTGTTGGTATTTAATAGGGACATTATTTTCTTGTCCCGTAGTCCAGATTTAGTGGTTGTGGTTATGATTCAGGTGTGTCTCCTAGACAGACCTGCTTCTCTCTCCATGTTTGGGTTTTCAGTGGCTTAGTGTTCCAGCAAAGAACTGTATTCCTGTAGTTGCAGGTGGTGCTGCAGCTGCTAGGTAGGAGCTGTGTGATTCCAGCAGCCACTTGCCTGGGTAGAAAGCCCCACTCCCCTGCAAGTTGTATGTCTTGCTTTGTTATCTAGGCTGATTATACCCCTTGTTGATCCTCATAGTCTTGTGGTAATTACCTCCTCCTCCAACCTCCCTGATCACCCCTACCTATAATTAAAGAGAAGAATGGAAGAGGGAGCGTGTAGTTGACGAGCTGACAAGTGTGTTGCTGCTGCAGCAGGGGGCCATGCACCAAACAGATGAGATCACAAGTAGCGTTGCCACGTTTTCCAAAATGTATTCTCCAAATGACCTTTTCAGTGTAGACCACTGGTAGCATCACGGGAGCTGTCTGACAAACAAATATCCATGACCAGTGTCAGAAGAAGTCAGAACTGTCCTGGGATTATGTGTGTATTTAAGACTTTGCAAATCCTCTTTAGAAATACATCTTCCGCCAAGAAATCTTTGTGGATGGCGGTGGCTGCTTGTCCATCCCCTACACAGCATCACAGCATTGTGTTTTGTTTTGTTTTTGTTTTTTAATCCTTAGAACACACATTTTAAACTTAATTCTTCTCCTTTGTGGAAAAAACGCATATCTAAATTCACCAATTTGGACAGCTTAGAAAGTGCCTGTGTTGATCCTGTGTGGAGGGAAGGAACCAAGGAAGGAGTTCAATTTACTGATGTACACTTTTTTGGCTTTCAGAACACGATTGAAATCTAATAATCTGTACCATTTCCTAAGTTTTACTTCCATGTGTTTTAAAAATCATATGCATTTTATACCTTTCAACAGAGGAATTTAAATGTAAACTGAGTAATTAGCAGCTAATTATACAATGCAGATACAGAAGGCAGTTTGTTACCACAATATGGTAGAGGAGAGGGGCAGCTTCCACCTTATTTTGGTATATCTTTATAGGCCAAAAAAAAAAACTAAACTAAAAATTAAAGGTTGTGCTATTTATATTCTCAAGCTGAGTTTCTCCAGTAAGGAATGGAAGGGAATAAGAGTTGCATGCACTAAATTAATTGGCTTATTTTTAATGATAGGCTGGTTACCTACAAAACGCCTACTGTTCCGTGTTACTTATGTTTTGTTTTCCATAGGGAAAGGCAGGTATGGTGAAGTGTGGAGGGGCAGTTGGCAAGGGGAAAATGTTGCTGTGAAGATCTTTTCCTCCCGTGATGAGAAGTCATGGTTCAGGGAAACAGAATTGTACAACACTGTGATGCTGAGGCATGAAAATATCTTAGGTAAGTACAAGGATAACTCCCTCATTAATTGTATCTAGAGAGAAATAATTCTCTGCCTTTGCTCTCTCTGTTTTGGTGAATGTGAATTTGAGAGTGTCTCCTAAAAAGCAATATAGGGATCCTCAGCATTTATATGCTGTTTAATTTTCTCAAACACAAGTTTCTTATTTAAATCTGCAAATAAGTTTTAAGACTCTCTGGATGATGAAAAGGAAATCCACTATTGCTAATTCTTATTCCTACATCTGTAGATCGTTATTTAAATAACAAAAATTTGCCCCATATTGTTCACTTCAAGGCTCATTGGTTGTTCTACTTACCCCACCCTTTTTGAATATTTATTACTTGAATCAAACTAAGAAAGATCTTTGGACTATTTCCTAGAGATTCACAGCTCCCAGGGATATCGTAATTAAATGCACATTCCCTTAAACTAGGCATCATTTTTAAAACCCAGATTTGCAGAGGGATTCAGGATACATTTTAATTTAGAAACTAAAGCTTAGCAACATTTGTGAAATATGTAAAGTGCTCATTGAAATACTGCTATGGCAGTATAAAGGGTGAGCATACTCCTTAGGCCCATTGACTTCTGTAGTTTTGAAAAGTTTCCCTACATGTGTTTTTACTGATATATGAATGGTGAATGCTGCCTGGAGTACTTCTTCAATAGTGGATATAAAGTTTGGATAGAATTTAAGTCTGTATAGGATAGTGTTGGCCACTTTAGGCTATTGGATTAGGTTTGGCTCATAGGAAGGCCATTGCCAGAATTTATTTCTATTTTAGCACTGCCAATTTAGTATTTAAATGAGTCAAGTTGTCTGCAAATAATGATTTGACAGTTGTCCAAAGCTTCAAAGCTTTGCTTCCGTAGTGTGGTGGTGATGTTCCATCTCAGAATTGTTTCAGTTTCTGTAGTTGATTTCTCACTTTTGCTTTTCCATCGGGTCCTAGTCATCACTTAATCCTCCTCACCTCAGCTGTCAGCTTTCCCTTTCAAATTCATCTCTCCACTTGGAGTTGTCTTTCACTGGGGAGCAGAGATCATCCTGCTCAGTGTCTTTGATGGCTCCCAAATTAACCTTTGACACTTGTGACTGCTATTCAAGACTCCCTGTTTTGGTGCTCCAAGGAATCACCTAACCATCCTTTACAAGTATGCTCCGTTCAGTTACTACGAATACTGGCCATTCCTTGGGATTACTACAAATGTTTGGGTCTCATTGTCCTTCCTCAGGTCACTCTTGATCACTCACTCTCCCTTTCACATCCTCCAACCATTCCTTCCTCCGTCAAAACCTCTCAGCCCCGTTTTAGTTTTGCCCAGTGGAATTAATTGTGCTTTTCTGCACTCCCTCACTTTTTACCTGTGCTCTAACTCTTATTGCTCACTGCCTTGTGTTGCAGTTAAACGTCTGTGTGTAACAAGAATCGTGACAGCAGTAACAACAAACGTGTAATGGATCGTTCCTATGCAGTAACCACTGCTTTAGGTGCATTATGTGCCTTTTTTTCATGGAACTTTCACCACAATCATAAGAGAATAGGTACTCTTATTTTCCCGGTTTTAGATGTTGTAGTAACCAATATAAAGAGAGGTTAAATAGTGGAGGTGGGAATCCCACCAGGCAGCCTAACTCAACCACAGTGTTGTACTCAAAACACAAACATTCTTTAAAAGTGCCTTTGCATTGTAGCTATATAATTCCACTTAGGTGATAAACAGTTGGAAAAAAAAAAAACCCTGCTTATTTAAAAGTAATTTTTTTCTTGATGATCTAGAGCATAATTAATGTGACAGATAAAATTCTTCCCTAAGACCTAAGGGGCTTAGTGAAGATGAGAGAATAAAAATGTATTTGTTTATTATTTATTTATTTATTTAATCAGAAGCTTCTCTTTCTTGGGGAGGAAATCAGTAGAGGCCACACACATATAGAACGGTAACTTAATTTCTTTTTGAGTGGTGCTTTTAGAATTTGGGGTATTTTTGAGAAAATCATCAAAGATTAGTATTATTTGGTTTAAACGATTAAAGCAGAAATATTTCCTGTATAAAGAATACCTGATGTCCAAGAACATATTTCGATTCATATTATGGCCAGCTAAGGACTCCAAGAGAAACAGCTTCAAGGGGAAAAAGCAGATTGAGAGTAGGGAAGGAGTGGGAGACTCAGGGCTGGCCATGGGAATAGGCTCATAGGAAAAGAGAGAAAGAGGTAGAGGGTGAAGGTGCTGAAATATTACTCAGTTTGCTTTGCATATGTCCCATAGGTGAAAATATCACAATTATTTTTTCCTCTGAGTAGAAATCAGTTTGTCTGAGGACACCATGGCATAGTTGGTAAGATCCTGGGTTTCTAGAATCAGACGTAGAGGGACCATTACTGACCTACTACCGGTGATGTGATCTACGTACTTTGTGTGGTTTTTGGAGGATTGCATATAAAGTTCCAGACACTTAGTACTCAATAATTATTGGCTGCCTCTGTTGTGGTTGTTGATGATTAAGATGCTGATGATTGAATAGGGGACCTTTCTTGGCTTACAGAGCCTTCCTGTGCAAGGTGTCAGAAGAGCTAGCACCAAATTCAGAGTTGATAGCAACTTAAATAGCTGTGTGATCCTTGGCATCTCCCAGCAGCAACTTTATTATCTGTAAAATGAGCATAATGATGTCTATCTTACCAGCTTGTTGAGAAAAATCTCATGAGAAAATATATGTGAAAGTGACATAAATTTTATATAAAGTACTGTGCAAGTATAAAGCATTTTAATGTATTTTCTCTTACATTTTCATAAGTCATTTAATTTTTTCTCAAGCCATATCTGTCTTAAAAAAAAATTTTTTTTCTCACCTCTTTTTAAGTCCCAAGCTTCACTGTCTACCAGCGTGGTACATATATGTGAGAATAATCCTAGAAAGGCACCTCTGTAGCAGAAAAGGCAAGCACACGTCACAATTTATTTCATAAGATAGGAAGTGCCCCTAACTTCCAGACAATCTTGTGCATGCTGAAAAGTTTCCTCCAAATGTCTAGAAAAAAATATCTTCCGGGCTTGGCATGGTGGCTCATGCCTGTAATTCCAGCACTTTGGGAGGCCAAGGCAGAAGGTCAGGAGTTTGAGACCAGCCTGGCCAACATGGTAAAACCCCATCTCTACTTAAAATATGAAAAATATGAAAATGGTGGTGGGTGCCTGTAATCTCAGCTACTCAAGAGGCTGAGGCAGAAGAATTACCTGAAACCAGGAGGCACAGGTTGCAGTGAGCCAAGATTGTGCCACTGCACTCCAGCCTGGGCAGCAAGAGTGAAACTTAAGTCTCAAAACAAGGAAAGAAAAATATCTCCAACCTCTTCATCCACATATGTCAGTCTCTCACTTCACTTCAATATCAGTTTAGTTGCTACTTCCTGATGGAAGCCTCTTGTAACATCTAGTCTGAATTACTATAATTTCCTGCTCTGGGCTCACATTGCTCTTTGAAGATATATATTATAGTACTTTTCACATTTTTTTTGTAATTTTTTCATTTTTACATCTGCCTTCTTTAGCCAACAAACACTATCATCTTGGTTTTTCTGTGTCTGATTGACAGAGAGCATCATAAATGCTCATTACATTTGGTTGGTTACTTTTTGTATTTGGTGAATCCATCATTTAATGTAAACTCACCCCCTTTATTTCACATCTGAGCAGACATAGGCTAGGGATGATGTTCTTTTAGGATAGTTGATGAATGGTCTGTTCCTGAAATAACAGCTTGCTGAAGGGTTTGGCACTATAATTAGGAGTGAGCACAGAGATATTATTGCTATCAGACTCTTAAGGAATGTGAAATATTTTTTAAAATGTTACATACAACGAAATGAATATGAAATTTTCCCATTTATTAACAGTGTTCTTGTAAGGAATAAGTGCTATTATTTTTCTCTGTTGATGCTTCTGTAACCCCCCTCTTATGGAAAGTGATCAGTTTAATTACTTTTTGTTACAGATGGCATTTACTCTGCTAGGTCACTGTTTGTAAATACTTAAAGTTATAATGTGGAATTCTCATGGGTATTAATTTTGTTCTTGCCCTCTCCAGGTTTTATTGCTTCAGACATGACATCAAGACACTCCAGTACCCAGCTGTGGTTAATTACACATTATCATGAAATGGGATCTTTGTACGACTATCTTCAGCTTACTACTCTGGATACAGTTAGCTGCCTTCGAATAGTGCTGTCCATAGCGAGTGGTCTTGCACATTTGCACATAGAGATATTCGGGACCCAAGGGAAACCAGCCATTGCCCATCGAGATTTAAAGAGCAAAAACATTCTGGTTAAGAAGAATGGACAGTGTTGCATAGCAGATTTGGGTAAATTTCTAAAAATATTTTTTTTCATTACCAGTTTTACTTTTGTTTCAATGTTTAGCTGAGTTGTATTTCTCCCCCACAACATGTTATGAAATATTTAAACATGCAGAAAAGTTGAAAGTATACAATGAACACCTTTATACCCACCACATAGATTCTCACATTAACATTTTATATCCTTAAGCATTATGATGTATTTATCCATCTATTCACCTCCCCATCCATCAGCCCATCTCATCCTTTGATAGAGTTCAAAGTAAATTGCAAACAAAGGAATCCTTTCTTCTAATGATTTCAACATGCACACTAGTATATCATTGACAAGAGTGCATTATTTGCTTTTTCTTTTTTCAGGCAAAATTTATATACTGTGAGATATACAAATCTTAAGTACCTTCTGAGAGTTTTGACAAATGCTGTAAAACCCAGACCCCTATGGAGATAACAGTTTCCCATTACTGTTGACAGTTACCTCAAGCTCATTCAGTCAGTCCCTGCCACACTCCACCTCAGAGGTAACCAATACTGTTGCATTCAGATTTCACAGACCTTCACATGATGTAGGTGCACAATAAATACTCCGTAGAATTAGTTTGTCTTAAAAGTGGTCTCTAAAATCATTCTGTAACTAAGGGAAAAGAATCAAGTTAAGAAATAGGAAAATAATCCCCAAACTGACTCACTCTATTCTCTGTTAGGATAGTTCATTCTTATGGTGTTAGAGTGGTACTCAATGTAGCTTTAATTGCATTATAAATAAGAGTATTTTCATTTATAGTGGCATTTTATGTAAAACCATGTTCATCCTGGATTCCTAGAATATTGGCTGAATAATTGTGCTAATGAGAACTGAGTTGTAATAACTATATTCAATTCAGTGGACTATTCAGAGCCTTCTACTTGATTAAATGTAGTTTATACGATATTCATATTATCACAATTATTGTTAGACTGATAAAGGTTTAGACAAAAATAGCTTTAATTATGTAAATAACAAAATTTATTTTTGTTTGTTTTTAAACATAAGGGATTTCACTTGTTAGGAAAATTTACTTCCTTTGGATCCCTGTAAAGTCTTTGCTTTTATATTGAGAAATTACAGTGTTTCCCAAGTAGGAGAAGAAAGATTTTAGGATAAGCATCAAAAGCGCATGGCCCTAAAATTTTTTGCAGGCATTCTTAGTTGTGGTGGAGGGGACTTTTATGGCTTATTCCATGGCTCTTAGAGCCAGGGTGATTCGTTTTAAAATTATGACTTTCTCAGTTATTAACCCTGTATTTTTGTGCAAGTCTATTTATCCATTTACCTGGCCCAAGTGCTGGCACTGCTTATACTCAGTGAGACAGGGACAGTGAGGTCGAAGGCAGGTGGGGCTGGGAGTTAGCTAAGAGGAACTCCAGGGCTTGACATTTTGCCCTGTACTTCTACATTGTTAGAAACTTTCATAACAGTGTGATCATATATTATTCATGTAACTAAAAAATAATGAAGCCTGCCTCACAGGATTCTGGTAAGGCTTAGAAGTATTATAAATGTCTGGCAAATTTTAAGGATTCAAGTTGTAGCTGCTGTTATAATCCAGTGGTCTGGGGAGGGTGGACAAGTTGAGGCAGCTCTTGGTTTTGGTTTATGGCACTTGGTGGGGAAGGAGTTGAGGGGAGCTTTGCAGTAAGTCCAGCTAATTAATTCTTCAACTGCATTTCTTTTGGCTTGTAACCTTCCAATTAGATATATGTGTTTGTATAAAAGTCTGTTAAGGAATTATTATTCAGGATATGGTAAACAATGCAGTACAGGAAACAACTCTAAGACCATAATTTGTCTATAATTTTTCAGTGTATACCTAGCAATTAAGCATCACTTATTAGAAATAGTGCTCTATGATTAATCCTGCAGAAAGGTCAGTATTCTATTGATTGATTGATGGATTGAATGATTGAGAGAAGATCTTATTCTGTTGCCCAGGCTGATCATAGGTCACTGCAGCCTTGATCTACTGGGCTTAAGCAATGTTCCTGCCTCAGTGTCCCGAAATAGCTGGGACTACAGATGTGCACCACCACACCTGGCTAACTTTTTTTTTTGTTCTTAGTAGAAGTGAGGTCTCACTATGTTGCCTAGGATTATCTTGAGCTCAAGTGACAATCCCATCTTGGCCTTCCAAAATGCTGAGATTACAGATGTGAGCCACTGTGCCTCATCTATTTTTCTAACTTATTATTAAAAAATTCAAATGTTATAATGATCACTTAAATCCTGAACACCTAGATCCAAAAATTGTTAAAACTTTGCCATGTTTGCTTTATCAGTCTGTGGTTGTGTATATAGTTTTGCCAATCCATTTGAAAATAAAGTGTTACAGGCATCACAACACTACTCCTCAGTGCTTCCAAATACATCCCTTGAAAATACTTTAAAATCTATCTTCTGCATAATCAGTTTATCATATCTACAGATTCCTGATAATTCTGTAGTATCATTTGATATTCATTTTCAAGTATTTCCAGTTTTTTCAAAGAAGAACTCAGGCACGGTTTACAAATTGCATCTGGTTGTTTTGTCATCTTTAGTGTAAAAATTATTTATTACTAAGAACAATTTACCTGTGTAATTGAGCAGCTTACAACAACACGGATTTGTTATCTCACACAGTCCCTTGAGGGTCAGGAATCTTAGAATGACTTAGCAGTGTGGTTCTGGCTCAGGGTCTCATGGACGTTGTAGTCATCTGAAGGCTCAACTGGAGCTGGAGGATCCAACTCTGTGACGACACACTTACAGCCATGATTGGCAGCAGGCCTCGGTTCCTTGCAGTGGGACCTCTCCACAGGGCAGCCTGAGTGTCTTTATATATGGTGCATGGTGAGTGAGCTGAGAGGGACAAACAGTAAGTCTTTTATAATTTTATAATGTCTTTTATGTTCTAATTGTGAAGATACCCCCTGTCACTTCTTCCATATTCTATTCAGTGGTCCAGCATACACTCAAGGGATGGGGAATTATGCTTCACCTGGAGAATCTAGCTGTGGTGGCTTTAATATGTGTCCACAAGTTCTCTGATGGTTCTCCCATCTTCAGAATATCTCCATGTTCTATTTAACCTGCACCTTTTACATATTCTGGTATTTAGACTCTTTGGTTCTGGAAATGGTGGAGGGGTGTACTGTAGTCTCCTCTTATCCATGGGGAATATCTTCCAATACTCCCAGTGGCTTCCTGAAACCCAGGATAGTATCAGATTCTATATATACTATGTTTTTTCAATTGCCTATTATAGTTTAATTTATAAATTAGGCACAGCAAAAGATGAACAATAAGTAATAATAAAATGGAACAATGATAGCAATATGCTATAATAAAATTTATGTGAATGTGGCCTCTCTGCCTCAAAATATCTTAATTATACAGTACTCACCTATTTTTGGACTGCAGTTGACTGTGGGTAACTGAAGGATAAGGGGGTCTATTGCATAGGATTTGGGAAATGTTCCCATGGAATCTTGGGGTTGATTTAAAAATAGAGGAAAGAGGAGCCTGTTTTAGTTGAATGCAATTCCAGTATCTTTACTAATGATTAAGGATGAGATGAGGTGTGCTAGCTCCCTGATGTTACATGAAATTGTCATGCCCTACATTCAAAGCCATGGAGTGGAAGGTGAAGCATTCTCTTTAGATGGCTTGAGAGATCCCAAGGGCTACTTGGATTGCAGTGGTTTACAGGGACTGCTTGCTCCAGTTCAGCACTTTTCATGACAGCAAATGTTATAGGAATGAATCATTTTCAGTCAGTCTGCTTATGCATCAATAACATAAAATCATCCTCAAATAAAGCATGCATGTTTCTGTCTGTCCCCGCTGGCCAGTGAAGAAGGCCCATCCCCTAATTGACTGAGGAATTCTGGAATGAGTCATGCTTTAAGAAAGCATTTGAAAGCCATTTAACCTGAGAGTTGTGCTTTCAATTGAAGTCCAGTTAAATGCTCTCTGTTTCCATGATTCTAGAGAAAGGCCTGTGGGTTTGGTCAGCATTATTGCTCAGATAAGCAGCTCTTCCTTTAGGAATAAAGCAGAGCTTATAACAGTCTGCCCTTTATGTGGTGATAAATTACTTCAAATACTGTATCTCACACTGTTGGAAATTTGTGTTTGGAGACTAGTGAGAGCAGTGGTGGAACTCGAGAGCTTAATTTGCTTCTTGTGAAGCCACTTAGAGGCTCACATTTAATATGTGAGCCTGTTTTCCTGTCTACTTCAAACACTGGCCACATATTGGCTTAGTGCATTGGTCTACCATTTATCCAAAACTTTTTGTCTCTTAGAGGTTCATATATTAACCTAATAGCCTCAGAATGTTTCTGACAGTTAATCACTTTTCTGCTCTCACCCCAGAAATAATCATATAGGGCGTTCTAGGGACTATTCTGAGTGTAACGCAATGGTGACCCTGGGTCCACAAGAGGGCACTTTTGATTGGGTTGGTTTAAAATCCTTCAGCAGCCTCTTGTGAGAAAGGAATTGAGTTGGTTACATTGTTATCTTCTTCCTTTCAGGCTTGGCAGTCATGCATTCCCAGAGCACCAATCAGCTTGATGTGGGGAACAATCCCCGTGTGGGCACAAAGCGCTACATGGCCCCCGAAGTTCTAGATGAAACCATCCAGGTGGATTGTTTTGATTCCTATAAAAGGGTCGATATTTGGGCCTTTGGACTTGTTTTGTGGGAAGTGGCCAGGCGGATGGTGAGCAATGGTAGGTATCTGATCTAATATAATATTGTCTTAATCCAAGTTCTCTTGATCCAGCTAACTTTACAAGGGCAGAAGGGACTACTGAAGTTCACAATGTTCCTTAAATCATACTTGTCAAGTTATAGGCTTCCGTATTTGATTTGTGGCTGGTAGATGGCGTGTAATGGCTTTTATGTTTGAAATACACAACAGTAAGTGATGGTTGAAAACAGTATTTCTGGAAGAGACTAGCCATTCCTTGGTTTTTCTTGGGATTTGCTCCATATTTCTTTTCTTTTACATTTTAAAATTGATACATAATACTTACATTTATGGGGTACACATGATATATTGATAAATGTATGTTATATGTAGTGCTCAAATTAGTGTATTTAGGCTGTATATTACCCTGAACATTTATCTTTGTGTTGGGGACATTTCAAATAGTCTCTTCCAGGTATTTTGACATATACAGTATATTATTATTAACTATAGTCGCACTACTGTGCTATTGAACATTAGAACCTATTTTTTCCATCCAGCTCTATATTTGTATCCATTAACCAACGTCTCTTCATCCCACTGCCATCTTCACCCCCATTCCCCAACCTTCTTAGCTTCTGGTAACTATCATTCTACTCTTTACTGCCATGAGATCAACTTTTTTAGCTCCCATATATGAACAGTAACAGAATATATTTGTCTTTCTGTACCTGACTTATTTCATTTAACGTAATGACCTCCAGTTCCATCCCTGCTTCTGCAAATGACAGGATTTCAGTCTTTTCTTATGGCTGCATACTATTCTATTATGTGTATTTACCACATTTTCTTTATCCATTCATCCATTGATGGTGTCTTAGGTTGATTCTGTATCTTGTATATTATGAATAGTGTTGCAATAAGTATGGAAATATAGAAACCCCTTTGTATACTGATTTCCTTTGCTTTGGGTAAATACCCAGTAGTGAGATTGCTGGATCTTATGGTAGCTATATTTTTAGTTTTTTGAGAAATCTCTATACCGTTTTCAATAATGACCCTATTAACTTAGATTCTCACCAACACTGTAGGAGTTCACTTTTCTCTGCATTCTCACCAGCATTTATTTTTTGTCTTTTTGATAGTAGTCATTCTGATTGGGGTAAGATGGTATCTCATTTTGGTTGTGATTTGCATTTCTCTGATGATTAGTGACACTGAGCATTTTTTCATATACAAGGTGGTCATTTATATGACTTCTTTTGAGAAATGTCTATTGCGATCCTTTGCTCATATTTTAATGAAATTATTTTTGTTGTTGAATTGTTTGAGTTCATTATATAGTCTAGATATTAGCCTCCTGTAAGATGAATAGTTTTCAGATATTTTCATCAGATTGTCTTTTTACTCTATTGATTGTTTCCTTTGTTGTATAGAGCTTTTTGTTTAATACAATCTTACTTGTCTATTTTTATTTTTGTTGCCTATGCTTTAGAGGTCTTAGCCATACAATTTTTGCTTAGATGAATTTAAGTGCTTCCCCGGTGCTTTCTTCTAGTATTTTTATAGTTTGGGTTTTTTTAATTTAAGTAATTTGTTTTGATTTTTCTTATCTGGTATGAGATAGGAGTCTGGCTTCATTCTGCATATGACTGGCTATTCAATTTTCCCACCACCATTTATTAAAGAGGGTATCCTTTCCCCAAATTATGTTCTTAGCACCATTGTTGAAAATCATTTGGCTGTAAATATGTGGATTTATTTCTGGTTTCTCTATTCTGTTCCATTAGTCTATGTGTCTGTTGTTATACCAATACCATGCTGTTTTGACGACTATAGTTTCATCTATTTTGAAGTCAGATAGTGTGATGCCTTCAGCTTTGCTCATTTTACTCAGTATTTTACTATTTGGAGTCTGTTGTGAATTCATACAAATTTTAGGATTGTTTTCTCTGTTTCTGTGAAGAATGTCATTTGTATTTGATAGAGTTTGCAGTGAATCTGTAGACTGCTTTGGGTAGTATGGTCATTTTAACAATATTAATTCTTCCAGTTCATGAGCATGGGATGTCTTTCCATTTGTTTGTGTCCTCTTCACCTTTTTTCATCAGTGTTTTGTAGTTTTCCTTGTAGAAGTTTTTTACCTCATTAGTTAATTCTTAGATTTTTGTTTTTTGTTTTTGTTTTTTTTTGGTGGCCATTGTAAATGAGACTGCCTTCTTGATTTCTTTTTCAGTCGGTTTGTTACTGGTATATAGAAATAGTCCTGATTTTTGTAACCTGTATTTTTAGTTTTTGAGAAATCTCTACACTGTTTTCTATAATGACCCTATTCATTTACAGCTTTTGTCAGTTCTAAGAGATTTTGGTGAGTTTTAGGTTTTTTTAGATAAAAGATCATGTCATCTGCAAAGAGGGACAATTTGACCATCCTTTTTCCATGTTGGATGCTTTTTATTTCTTTATCTTGCCTGATTGCTCTGGCTAGGACTTTTAGTACTGTTTTGAATAAGAATGGTGAAAGTAGGGATTCTTGTCTTGTTCCACTTCTTAGAGAAAAGGCTTTCAGTGTTTTCCCATTCAGTACAAATTTACCAGTGAGTTTGTTGCCTATGGCCCTTATTATGTTGAGGTGTGTATATTCCTTCTATACCTACTTTGTTGAGTTTATATCATGAAGAGATGTTGAGTTTTATCAAATGGTTTTTCTGTGTCGATCGAGATGATTGTAACGTTTTTGTCTTTGATTCTGTTGATGTGATGTATCACATCAATTGATTTGCATATGTTGAACCTTCCTTGCATCACTGGAATAAATCCCACTTGATCATGATGTGTTATCTTTTTTATGTGTTGTTGGATTCAGTTTGCTAGTATTGTGTTTAGGATTTTTGCATCTATGTTCATTAGGGATATAGGCCTGTAGTTTTTCTTTGTTGTGCCATTGTCTGGTGCTGGCCTCATAGAATCAGTTAGGGACAATTCAGTCCTCTTCAGTTTTTGGAATAGTTTGAGAAGGATTGCTGTTAGTTCTTCTTTTTAAGTGTGGAAGAATTCAGCAGTAAAGCCAGTCAGTCCTGAGATTTTCTTTGTGGGGATCCTTTTATTACTGATTCAATCTTGTTACTCATGGTCTGTTCAGTTTTTAATTTCCTTTTCATTCCATCTAGGTAGATTATATCCATTCCCTCTAGGTTTTCCAATTTGTTTCTAATAATTTCTGATGATTCTTTGTATTCCTGTGGTATCAGTCATAATGTCTTCTTTTTTGCTTCTGATTTTATTTACTTGCGTCTTCTCATTTTTTTCTTGGTTAGTGTAGTTAACAGTTTATCAGTTTTGTTTACCTTTCCAAAAAACTAATTTTTTATTTCATTAATCCTTTGTATTATTATTACCTTTTCGTTTCTATTTTGTTTAGTTTTGCTATGATCTTTCTTATTCTATTAATTTTGGGTTTGGTTTCTTCTTGCTTTTCTAGTTCCTTGAGGCCCACCTTTAGATTCTTTATTTGAAATCTTTCAACTTTTCTGATGTAGGTGTTTATTGCTACAAACTTCCCTGTTATTACTTCTTTTGCTATTGTTTTTGTTATTGTTGTGCTTCCATTTTTGTTTCAAGAATTTTTTTTATTTCCTTCTTAATTTTTTCACTGACCCAGTGGTTGTTCAGGAGCATGTTTTTTTTTCTTTTTTCATTTCCATGTGTTTCTAGTTTCCAGAGTTTCTCTTGTTACTGATTTCTAGTTTTATTCCATTTGTTGAGATTTATTTTGTGGCCTAACATATGGTCTATTCGTGTGATGATGATAAGAATGTATATTCTGTAGCTGTTGGATAAAATGTTCTGTAAATGCCTGTCAGGTCCTTTTGGTCTGAAGTAGATTTTAAATCCAATGTTTCTTGTTTTTTTTTTTTTTGTCTAGATGATCTGTTCAGTGCTGAGAGTAGGATGTTGAAGTCCCCAGCTATTACTGTGTTGGAGTCTATTTATCCCTTTAGGTGTAATAATATTTGATTCATATAAAAATGCTCCAGGCCAGTTGGGGTTATCTCACTCCTGTAATCCCAGCACTTTGGGAGGCCAAGGCAGGCAGATCACGAGGTCAGGAGTTTGAGACCAGCCTGGCCAACTCTACTAAAAATACAAAAAAAAAAAAAAAAAATCCAGACATGGTGGTAGGCTCCTGTAGTCCTAGCTACTTGAGAGGCTGAGACTGGAGAATCACTTGAACCTGGGAGGTGGAGGTTGCAGTAAGATGAGATCGCACCACTGCACTCCAGCCTGGGTAACAGTGAGACTCCATTTAAAAAAAAAAAAAAAAAAAGCTCCAGTGTTGGGTGCATATATATCTAGAATTGTGATACCTTCTCTCCCTTTATCATTATACAGTTGACCTTGAACATCACAGGTGTGAACTGCATTATTTTTTTTTAGCCAACAACAACAAGAAAATACAGTATTCATGGGCTACAAAGTTGAGTATACAGGAGGCCTGCTTTTTATATCTGTGAGATTCACAGGACCAACTGTGATATTGACTGTGTATGGATTTTGGTGTAGATTGGGGGTCCTGGAACCAATCCTCCATGTATACTGAGGGACCACAGTACAATGACCTTTTTTGTCTCTTTTTACAGTTTTTGACTTAATGTCTGTTTTATTTGATAGAAGTATAGCTACTTCTGCTTGCTTTTGATTTTTATTTGCATGGAATATCTTTTTTTATTCCTTTCCTTTCAGTCTATATGTGCCTTAACAGGCGAAGTGGGTTTCTTGTAGACATCATGTGGCTGGGTCTTGTTTTTAATCTATTTAATCAGTCTACATCTTTTTATTGGGAGATATAATCTGTTTACATTCAAAATTATTATTTATAGGTGAGGACTTATTTCTGTTTTTTTCTTAATTGTGTTCTGGTTGTCTTGTATATCCTTTGTTTCTTCTTTTCTTACTTTTTTTTTTTTTTTTTTTGGTATGTGGTTTGTATCTTTTCTCTTTAAATTTTAATTTTTTCTCTTTCTCATTTTTGTATCTGCT